AAAGTTCTAAACTTTGTTGTTGGGTGTTTTCAAGATTGTAACTTTTCTTGATTTATGTATGAGTTTTGGTTCTTGAGCGAGCAATCAACAAATGTGGAAATGATCTTGATTCTACTATTAGATCTTTGAACCAGTTTCATTTAGAATCCGCTAATCAGAATCATGATTCCTGAATCATCTCTGAGTGGGTTGACTTATTTTTCAGGGAAACGATGAATGCTTCAGACATGAAAGAAGCTAAAATCGTGTTTTAAGAGAATAGTTTACTTAGAACATGAAAGGCTTGTGCTGATGCTGACGCAGCTATGCAAAAAAGTCTCCAACAGTAGAACTTGACGCTGAGGAAGCAGTTAGAAGCTATTTTTCAGGAGTATATTTTACATAAACGAGATGTGGTGATGAAGTGGCAAAGAGAAACAGAAGATCAGAGTCAGGAGTTGTAGAGTTTGAGGCAGATGGTTACTCAATACTAGGTAAGCTGAGAACTCTGGAGATGAACAACTATGCTCTCATACTTCATCTGAAACAAGCATTGTAGAACAACTGTTCCATCCCTAGACGGTACCATGTAGACGTCTTCTAATGTCTTTTTCAGATGAATGCTCAGGTCTGTAATGTAATGTTTCAAGTGTACATATGTACATACATATTTTCTACCAAAAAGGTACATATGTACATATATTTATAAATATTAATCTACTGTGAGTTGGCTGAAGTACATTCAAATGATGGTGCTACATCAAATATATGTGAAGATATTTTATGTTCAAGGTTTCTGTGTGAGATATGCAAAATTGACACCAATCATACAACAATGATGTTATTAATGGTATTGAGCTTCGTTCAAAAATCAAATCCGTGCCTCAATATAAAAAAGTGAAACATTTTCTTACGGCAATATATTTTTCTTGTAAATTAAGGGAATCATTTTTTGCTTATCGAAAGACTAAGGGCATAAAATAAGTAAAAAAAAACATAAGTTTATGGGTTGATGAAGAAATTGAGTTCTTTTTTGCTTGGGAAAATAACTTGAGTTCTTAAATAACAAAATGAAGACAGTTGTTATAACAAAATAGAATAGTTAGAGTGTTTTCTGAAAAAAAAATTTAATGCTAAAAATGATAAAATTTATCTTGGTTTGAGTATTAAATAAAAAAATTGACTGATTTAGTGATTCTATCTATAAAAGAATTAATTATAAAATCAATTGAAATTTTTATTTTTAAAAATTATATGAACATTTTATTGTAATTAGTCTTTTCTTTGAAAGTTTACCTTATATGGAGGCTATAAAAAATTAATAATAAAATCATTACATATTAGTTTTGATATCAAAATTGTTGTAAAATATTTTTTAAATTGTTTATGGCAGCTATAAACGCTCGCACGACTCTGTCAACAATGCTTGAGCTGATCAAAGATTGTGTTATGATAGATCAAAAAAGTATTCAGTGGCGGCAGATCATTAGAGCTACATATAACACATAAAGTTCTACCATAACGTAAATAAAAAACATGATATGATATAGAGTTAGTTCTGTTATTAATTTACTTATTTGAAATATTTGCCATTTATAAATGAAGAAAATCTATGTATGCTACCTCAAAAAAAAAATCTTCAAAACTATAAAAAGCTCTACGAGAATAATTTTGTTTGTTGTATGAAAGTTTTCTATTATTGAAAACCTGCTATCATACAACAAAAACCTGCCATATAAAAGCTTCCAGCTGAAAATTTTATTGCCAACATAAATAAATCTATTGTAAGGTATGGTATTATTATTCTTGGAAGTATGTAATGATATTAAGTTTATTTTGATAAGTTTTTCGTAGGTAATAAATCAGCCAGAGATTATAAAATTGTTATCTGGTGTCGAAGATTTTTATTGGTAGATTCATTTATCTATTGCGGATATTGATGACATGAACAAATAATGACATTTTTGGAAAATATGTATTTTGTTAACATAGAAATGAAGGGTATTACGGGTATGAAAAACAGTCTAGTAATTTAAAAAAATATAAGCTAATCTAGAAATAAAAACATGATTTGTTATTTGAGTAATATTCCCCCTATATAAACAACACAAGAACACTATATTTTATAAAGAATCATGTGACATATATTTGGTTGGAACTTGTTTTTGACAAACTGGTGTGGACCATTTTCTGTGGGGTTTTCAACATAAACGTTTGTCGGAAAGACTGAATTTTAGGTACGATGAAATCGTCTCCGATAAGCATTATGAGATAGTGTATTCGTTTGTAAAAATTGGAGTTTTTTCTAAAGAGAAATGGAGTTGTAAGACCATTTCTAACTCAAACCTATTTTTTCCTCTATAATTTCCAAAAAAATAGAGGGATATCACTTTTCACTCTATTTTTGGAGTGAAAAAGTGATATCTTTCTATTTTCTCCTCTATAATAGATTAACTTTATTTTAGAATAAACCATTGGAGCAAAGTTAGATTTTTTTTGCAAAAGTTACTTTAAAGCTATGTCCTAAAGCAAATGACATGAAAAGCTTATATTTGGGTAAATATGAAATTTTAGCAGATATTTCACTTTAGATATTTAGGTTTGAATATTTTTAGATTTTTTAAATATAAAAGTATGAACCTAATAAATTATATTGATGTATTTGATGATTTGGTGAAATAATATTTTTGGCTTTGATATGAAAAACGTTATGTTGGTGGCATGGTAATTAAAATTACCATTGTTACAATTGAATGCAAATTGGTACGTTTGTTGACTCCATTATTACACAAGGTGCTGCCTCATTTTTTAAGTTAAATATGAACACTTGTGGTAACTCATGAGACACAGAAAAAACAATCCTTCATATTATATTTTCCTTTTAATATTTCTTTTGAATCCAAGCATATACAAAAAAAACTAGTTTTGACAACCTTCTGATAGAGTGACGCAAATCAGAAGATTTGTTGCAGTTGTATCATGAGACTCATTACGTCATAGAACCGTCGCACTACGTGATGTTGGAAACGAATATTATCATGCTCTTCGACATCAACCTTTGGAGGTGGGACTTCTCTACCAAATTCATCTGGAGCATCAAGGTCATGCTCGTCCTCTATTGTCATATTATGTAGAATTATACATGAGGTCATTATGTCATGTATCACATATTTTTTTCCAAAAACGCATTGGAACTTTCACAATTGCAAATCGACATTGTTAGAGAACTCTAAAGGCGTGTTCTATATCTTTATGGCATGCTTCTTGTTGCGTAGCAAAGTATTTATTTTTTGAATCCACTGGCTCATGAATAGTTTGCTTTCATACTATATTTTTTTCCTTGAAGGGGATAAAGAGTATGAGGTGTAATACCTTGAGAAAGATTGGTGAAAAGATATGAAAACTCCAAGAAATTAATATCATTATTGTTTCCACGCATCCTTAAATATGTATTGAAACATCAGCAAGTTCTGGGGATCGTTAGTATTCCTCTGAGAATTTTTCCACAATATCCCAAAAAAATCTTTTCATACTTTCGATTGTTGTTGTTTTGCTAATTTTAATGTATTCATTTGTTGCATCAGCTGGTAAATCATAAGCTAAAGAATGTTGTTGCTTTCTAAAAATATTATAAACCAAGTCTACTAACTGTACGTTTTCGTTGTTTAAAGTAGTTGTCATGGTCTTCAACAACAATAACAATACGAAGGAATAAAGAACAAGACATACAAGATCTCCTATGAAACATTGTGTCATTGTGAGTTGATTCTCCGAGAAGTAGTCGTGAACAATCTACAATTTGCACTTTCTCGGTCTCGATGGATAAAAGAACATCCATGAACTGAGCCTCCATGACCCAATTGGTTGCTTTGTCGATTACGAAGATATAGTATTATCGTAATGTTATTTTCAATAGCACAATGTACCACTAATTCTTCTTGCTCGAGACTATTGATTATTCTACATTGTCATCATCATCTCAGAGTGGGTGAAGAAGCACCCAAATGTAGTGAATTTGTGAAAAATTCCAAACTCAAAAGAAAAAATGATGATCAAAGATCACTTGTTAACACTTTGGAAGAAGGAAATAAGCAAATTTTGGAGTATCTAAAGAGGACAAGCACACAAAGACAACAGTATTTGGAGATTCGAAGTAAGAACTACAATTTAAAAAAAAAAACTAAAGAAAAAAACAAAATATTATTCTATGATGTGAACTACATACAAGACCTTAACGTTTGTGCATACTTTTAATACGGACAAAATTGAATTCTATAGTAAAAGAGTGAATAACAAGCTCAACAACGTTCTCAAGCATCAACTTCATTTGCGTAGTGTTGTGATGATATTAGTGGATTCAAAAATAGTTTACTAGATTATTAAGTGTTAGTTTATGTTTTATAAAAAAAGTTATATATTTAGCTTGGTGTATTAATTAAGTATTTCAGTTTGTATATTAATTATATAATTGTATTTTTAATATGTTTTTGGTATATCTATTTAAAGTAATAAAAAGGAGAAACTTTGAATTTTACTTAAGTATATTATAAGAACAGATTAATTGTTGACAAAAAAAAAATAAGAACAGATTAATTTGTTATTAAAAAGTTTATCTTCAGAATATGATATTGTTTAATTCTTCAAAATTGGAAGATATGGAAAAAAAAATGAAGTACCAATAACATAAAAAGTGAAACAAAATGAAAAATGAAGTTTCAGGGAAGATATGGACAAATCTAGCGGATTTTGCAAGTTGTCAACTTGCTTAATTCAAGAAAGTCATAAAGTGAAATTTGAGGATGGTGAACCAATTAGAAGACTGGAATTTCTAGCAGCCAAGACTCTAATGATATAACTCAAAAATCTTTTGTTTAGTTATGACTTGTGAAGAAAAAAGTTTTGACTTGGGAGTAGTAGGGGAATGACCTACAATTTGAAAATCCACTTATCTTTAATTGTCTTCAGTATGTTTTATTTTATTAATTTTGTTTGATATATTTGTTTATAGTTTCCAAAATATTTTGTTGAACTTAAGAATAAAACTCGTATATAAAAGATTCATGATTCTACAAGAGACATCTTCATACACGCTAATACAAACGAAATGAGCAATTGCCTTCATATTACATGTTACATAGTGCTTACAAGTTGCACCGTTATAATTACAAGATTATCAATGCACTAACTGGCTATTGATTTTTCCATAATGGACTGAGCAACGGGAAGAAAAAGCCCGGTGACGGCGGAGGTAGTGAGTCGTTACCGCCTATAAATCGTGGTGACAACGCGAAGAAATTGGGTGATAATAATGGAAATGACGATCTAGGGCGCGGCGACAAAACAAAATGTGAAGCTGGAGACTGGAATAACATAGGACTAGGACCGGATTGATGTGAAGGAAACAAACCGGTTGATGACTGAACCAGGTTTTGGTTTTGTTGCTGAGGTCGGTTTCCAACAGGGCTTGATTCAATTAGGTAACGCATATAAGCCGAGATTGGAGACTCGGCCGGGTTAACAGGCCGAACCGTTTCAGCGGCAACTGGATCTGACTTAACCGGAAGTGGAAGTGGAGGGTGGTTAACTTGAGTCAAAGGAGCCGGTCTAACTTTGACCAACCTTGAATTTGGAGGTTTTGGTGGGTTTGTTGACTGTGGAGGATTGACTGAAGAAGCTGAACCGAGTCCGGTTAACTGTTGAACTATGGATCTAAAATCGGTTTTGTTGATATTATAAAACAAAGCTTGAGGATTCTGTTGTTGATTTTGCTGGTTTGATGGATCTTTACGGATGCTTTTCCCAATCTTATTGAGGCCTAGATGATGATGATGATGAGTATCATTATTTCTCTGATCATCCATCACTAAGCCTGAAACAAACAAACAAAAACAGATGCAAAAATATTATTTGGAAGAAATCAGCTGAGAAACTACAAAGCAAAGCTAAAATCAAAGGGTTTTAAACCCTTTTAACGAGAAAGAGAGCTTACACGTTTTCTGATGTTGACCAGAATATTAAGACTTGGAAAAAAGAAGAGGAAGAGGAGGAGAAGAACAAAACAAGAAGGTGCTTTAAATATAGAACAAAGGAAAGTATGATTTTGTTGACTCCATTGCTCCTATCACTTTATATATTTCTTTTAGAAATTTCAATTCCTAGTTTAAAACAAGTTTCTTGTAGTTATTTAATAACCAACAAGTGGATCACGTATATATAAGTCAAGGGCTAATGTTAATGATAACAGCAAACTTGTCTAAATTTTTATTCATAATTTCTCATCATCTTTTTGGAAAAAAAATTATAAGTTACACTTTATATTTAGAACTTTAAAACGTATATAGTTGTAGGTTAGGGATTTAAAAACATGGTCGGGAATCATGGGCCGGCTTATGGCATAGCCGGTGAAACAGCGGCGTAAGACAGAAAATTCAGAAGAGGATATTAAAAAGTATTGTCTTTTATAAATAATTGAAATTTAAAAGATTTTCTTACCTATATTATTACTTGAAGACATAGGGGCTGATTGGTTGAGTTGTAAGTGCTGACTTTAGATTTAATATTTATTTATAGCACTTAAATCACCAATCATGTTTTATCTTATTTTTCAAAGCTAGAACCAAAAACTAAAAAAATGGCTGTAAAATCTTTATTTTCTAAAGCCACATCTTTTTTGCTGTAGAAAATATGTTGCTGTAGCAATAAATTTTAAAGCTACATCTCTTACAGCTAAATAAAAAAACTCTACAGACTAATTTCTACAATAAAACTTTTACAGCTACAGTTCAACCAATCATCCCCATAACTAATCAGAATTTGTTATATCTTTAACAATATTCATAAAATTTTGACACCAAAAAAAGTATAAAATCACTTTTTTTTAACAAATATAGTAATTAAATAACAGTTAAGTTTGACAAAAAAAAACATTTAAGCATAGACCATTTATGTGATTTTGAATAATATATAATAATAAAAAGTAAGATATGATATAAGAAACTAATGCCTTATATAGGCATATAAAACTACTCTATCAATTCTATAAATTAACTCATCAAAATAAATAAAAATTGAAAATTTCTCAACCAATCAAATTATAATAGGTTTTTAGAAATTATCTCTATGATTAACATCTAAGAAAAAGTCATTTAATCGACTTCGTATTCAATATATAGTTAGGTCAATATTTCATGAAAAAATATTCTTAATTCTGTTGTTTCTAGTTTTCTTTATAAAAATTTTGTGAAATCAGATTGTCTTATGGCAAGTTTTTTTACTATTCATGTTATATAATTTTCAATAACATATATATAAGTGTACAATTTTTCTAATTGGTTTTGGGTTTCGTAAAAATGTGAATAAAAATGTGGACCAGTACTGTCGAAAACATTTACAGTAAATTTGTCACAATGATTACGAAATTAATATAGAATCAATTAATCAATACAAATAAAAAAAATTGTTATATCACTCCTGGTTGCGCCATGTCATCAATTCACTCATTCTCAGCATGACACATGTCCATTTTTTTAAACAAAACAATTATATCACTCCTGATTACGCCACGTCATCAATTCACTCATCCTCGGTGTGACATGTGTTCTTCCTAAACACTTCGTTTCATTAACGTTATTATTCAATAGATGTGGGTTTTCTGTTTAGGCCTTATGTTTTGCTGAAGAAACTAGCCCAATAGAGTGCAAACGTTTACGCGACTGAGACATGATATTAGGGTTCTTCCAACTCCGCCCTTCTAGAGCATATGTCGGCTTGAAGAATCTTTATGTAACGTTTTGAACGTGTTGTTTCATCTTTTTCCACAATCCGAAACACTCCCAATTACTGATTTATCGTGTTAATCCCCATCTTAACTCAATCAACCACGATCTAGTCTTCAATGGAGTTTCTCTTCTACAAGGCTGTCTATATGCGACTCTATAAAGGTTAGCATTCTCTGACACAATACCTGAATTCGTTTATGGGAGATGTTTTCTAATTCACTTTTTTGTTGATTTTCACTCCTTTTGTTTATGTGTTGCAGTCAACCCTGATACAAGCCACTGTGTACAAGCATCTTATTAAGGCGGTTTTGATGTGACTCAGAGCTATCTGAATGACTCTCCTCTATCAATTTGACTCAATCATCGAATTGCGTCTCCACCGTCAAAGAGTCAAAGTGCGTCTCATCAGATTTTGTGAGGTTATCCCTCTCTCATTGATCATCTATCTATTAGCTATATAATTGTCCATTGTAATCTGTTTCTGTTTGAAGTTTGTCTTTGAAACTTGTATTTTTTATATAGATAAAAAGTGTGGAGAGATGGCACGAAAGATATGTTTCTTCAAAGACCAAATGTCAAATGTTGGAGTTTCTCCCAAAGAGTTCATAGACAAATAATTTTATATGGTTTTGGATGATGTTGAGGTGAACCCATATGCTTGCTTTTGTTTTTAATTTCTTGGATAGCCATTGCTTCCCATTTCGCCATCCTTAATTATACTTGATTTCCTTTTTTCCCTTTTTCAGGTCAAGCTTGGAGAGCTAGAAGCTGAACTTTCTGTAATCAAGGCTATCAACAAGCTGTAGCAATCTTACAATTTACTTCATGAGTTTATGTCTCCTCGCAATTGTTCGTATACAAGTGAACTGTATCTTGGTTTAGGCCTCACTCTTTGAGTCAGTTGTCACAATGAGTGTAGAAAGAGAGAGAGTACTAATTAGTCACAACGCTGCAATAGCTATCAACAATAGCATCCTTAGTGTCTTACCTGGCAACTCTTCAAAAGGTTTATTGTTACGTTCAAGAATTATGTTACTGTTATTTTCTCAGACATCGTTAGATATATATGAAAGATTCTGTAAATAAGGTAAACATACTGAAGAAAGCAATTAAGTTTGATTGTAATAAGTACTAAACTCTAACCAAATAATATTATTGATGTTGTGTCGCAGGATGTTAAAAGCTATGTTGGAGAGCTATTCAAGAGTACTTCAAGGTTTAGCTTTTAAATTGTTGCTTGCAATGATTCTGCCATCTTTGTAGACAAAACTATGAGACATATGAATAACTTCTTATAGGTTTTACACTTTACTTCTATGTTTGTTCTTTTCCTTCTGATCTCTTATGTCTCATGTAAATTGGATAAGATAAAAATCAATGTAAAATCTAGAAATAATGTATTTACTTCCTTTTGCTTAAGTTCTTTATATAGTAAGCACATAGAGAGGAATTTTCATCAAGAAAAAAAATTACATTATAAAATTCAAGTTGAATGATAATATTTAGTAAACTAAATTTTGATTTAATATAATACACAAAAAAATTTCCGCTAGGGTGGTGTGACCAAAATATGAGTTTTGAAAAAGACACACATACTCATAGTCTTCTTCCTGTTTCAGTTATCTTATGAGCTCTCAATAATTGAAACAGTCTTTAGGACACCATGATCCAAGCTTTTACATGATGTGCTCATGAGTTATAGATTGCTTATACATACCTCTTTTACTCTCTTGTTAAGTTAATCAAGAAACAGAGTTCCAGAAGCAGAAAGCACAGTTTAAGCCAAAACTAAAACAAACAAATGCTAAACTCGAGTTTCAGAGAAAAGACACAAGGTAAAACATGAAACTGGAAAAAGAAATATGAAACTGGTGGCTGAGCTGCAGATACAAGACAAACAGCTTGAGGAGAAGATGCATAATGTAAGAGGTAGGGATGTTAAAACGGGTCGGGCAAGCCCGTTTACGTCCGAACCCGTTTATGTCTGAGCCCGTTTAATGTGTCCATTTAGAGCCCATTTAAGCCAAGCCCGTTTAGAACCTATTTATGTGAAGCCCGTTTACAACCGTGCCCGTACGAAGTCTGTTTTAAGCCCGTTTACATAAAAAAATGAACATGACCTTTTTTGTATCATAAAATTTCTCTTCAAACAAACCTGTCAAATTAAAATAGAAATCTATAATCTACAAATTCAAAGTTTACAAATCAAATGTAAAAGTTCACACTTCACAGCAAGAAGTGCTATTCTTTCTGTTTCTGTCAATTCCTCATCTATATCAAATTCAGCATTCTCATCATTCATATCCATGTATTCACGCTTAGCATAAAGAAGTGCTATTGTTTGCTGAGTTTCAAAGTCCATCTCTGCAAAAAACAAAAATGAAACATAACCAGATTCAAAGTCCATCACATGAGTATAAAAACAAAACCAGTCTCCACTAACTATACAAGAATACAATTTAAACAAAGATGAATCTTGTAAGATCACATGAACCTGCACATTAACACAAGCGTTCAGAATAGCTGAAAACGTTTCCACATTGGTTTGATTTTCCAGCTCATGCATTTTGGGGATAACTTCTAATATACTCAAGAGTTCATGCACACCCTCCTCACAATCTTTCTTCTTTCTGTTACTACTCTCAGTGGTTAACTGCTCAAATAACTCTATTACACGATTATCCTCTAAGCTACCATCTCTGGACTCAGCTAAGGACTCCATAGCAGCAAAGCGACCAAAGGCATCTATAATCGAATTGTAAGTTACGACATTAGGACTAATACCTTCCTTAGTCATCTCATTAATCAACGAAACAGCAGAACCAACAAACCCAGTCTTACACAAAGCATCAATCAACGCACTATACAACACAACATCAGCTCTTAACCAACGCTCTTAAACTCTCTAAACATCTCTATGACTCCACTAAAACCAAAGCAACCAAGAGACATAAAGGTAAAAACTAAGAACACATAGCTATATAGCTATATAAAGACACATAATCAAAGAGATCATAAGCCGGAAAGATCTAAAAACGCATAGCCCTAACTCGAAGTAGAGACAAAGCAATAACCCATAAGGAAATCAGTTTGAAACAACAGTTTAGTTAAGTCAAACTGTTGACACTAGATGTGAGGAAGAGAGAATGAAGAAGAAGACACGGGATGTATGCCAAAAGACAAATCAAAACCTAGAAACTTCCGTATTCGATTCAGAAACTCACGAAAAGAGAATTTTGATATTTCGATGAAAGGAGGCAAGGAGCTAGAGAACGACAAATAGATTACGGTAGAGATGTTTAGAGCTGAGAGAAAAAAATTAA